TTTTCTGTAATGTGCTCGGGAGCCGTTGGCACTTGGACTTTGTAGACATTGGGAAAGGGAATATGCCATGACTAGGCCAGATAATGTGGAGAAATTCCTACTGTAGGTGGGAATGTCAGCTTAGGGAGTATCCTCAAACAGTTAAACCCACATATTCCAGTACTCTCACTACTGTGTATATATCTAAGGAAATGAAATCATCTCATGAAGAAGATCCCTTGAGGCTGGGAATGTAGCTCAGTGGTAGAGTGCTCGCCTAGCATGCATGAAGCCCTGGGTTCGATTCCTCAGCACCACATGCACAGAAAAGGCTGGAAGTGGTGCTGTGGCTGAGGTGGTAGAGTGCTAGCCTTGAGCCAAAAAAAAGAAATCCAGGAACATTGTCCAGGCCTTGAGTTCAAGCCCCAGGACTGGCAAAAAAAAAAAATCACACAAACACATAAAAAGATACTGCCACAGTCCCACTTCTAAGTTAATGGACATAGTCGAGGTATGGAGTTATTCATAGATGGAAAGATGCAGGAAATTTTGTTTCCTCCCTGCTCCTTGTTTTATGCTAGTCCTGGGGCTTGAACTCAGGGCCTGAGCACTGTCCCTGATCTTTTACACTCAAAGCTGGCATTCTACTGCTTGATCAACAACTACTCTTCTGGCTTTTTTTTTTTTTTTTTTTGATGGTTAGTTGGAATAAGACTCTTACAGATTTTTTTCCCTGCCCTATCTGGCTTCAAACTGGGATCCTCAGATCTCAGCCTCCTGAGTAGCTAGGACTACAGGAATGACCCACTGACACCCAGCTACCTCTTAAAAAATTCTCTTTGCCAGTCCTGGGGCTTGAATTCAGGGCCTGGGCACTGTCCCTGAGCTTCTTTTGTTCAAGGTTAGCATTCTACCACTTGAGCCACAGCACTACTTCCGGCTTTTTCTGTTTATGTGGTACTGAGGAATCGAACCCACATTCCTAGCCCTTGAGATTTGTTTTAAGATTGACTTGCCCATCATCCAAAGTGAAGTTTGTGCTCTCTCTGTCTTTCTCTCCCCCTTATCACATGCTAAAACTCACTCCCCATATTTAAGTGATAATTTTGGCTAGATCAATCTTGCATATTTGTAACATTTTGACTCTATAAACGAGATTTGGTTCAGACAGTATACTTTTGATTTCTTTCATATGAAAGTTTTTTCTTTCTTTAGAACATCAAGGTAAGTTCAAATATCACCTTGAGGTTGTGGTTCTAAGGTGAATAATTCATTCCTAAGTTGCTCTACTTTCTGAGAGAATTGTGGGATATGAGACTAAGTGGGTCCTAGAGAACTTGAACTTGGGTCATCCTGGATGACTGAGTCACACATTTTCCTATTGTCCTCTCCCCCTCCTCCTGCTCCTCCTCCTCTTCTTCCTCCTCCTCTTCCTCCTCCTCCTCCTTTTCTGCCCTTAGAGGATCACAGGCTCCCAGCTCTCCCCCAAGCTCCAGTATTTTGGTCAGGCACTGAGTGGGGGCCAGGATCTCACAATGGATGGCTTGATGGATTTGGCTGTAGGGGCCGAGGGGTACCTGCTGCTGCTCAGGTAAGAGTTCCTTTGGGAGCATGGTAGGGATTTTCCCTTGAAGGAGATTCTTCTCTGTGGTCTGACATTTTCTGATGGCCCTATGGTGTCCCCAAAGAGCTCAGCCAGTATTAAGGGTCGAGGTGTCCATGGAGTTCAATCCCAGGGAAGTGGCAAAGGATGTATTTGAGTGTGGCAAAGAGGAGACCGGAAGCAAGGCTGCTGGAAAGGTCACAGTCTGTCTCCGAGTCCGCAAGAACACAAGGGATCGGCTCAGAGAAGGTGAGGCATGATGGGTAAGTCTCTAGATGAAATGGCTGCTCATTTATGGCAGTTGAAGGGAAAGTTCTCTTCTCTTCACTCCTGCTGGGTAGGGAACACAGGGGCCCCATGTTGGTGCATAAACTAGATTCCTCCTCCACTTCCTCCTTCTTCTTCCTCCTTCTTCCTCCTCCTCCTTGAATTGAAAAATCAAGAGAAACAACAGACAGTAGAAATAGGCCTATGGATGATTCAGAAATGAGAGAGGAAAATAGCAGCCAACTGAAATTCTAGCACAGAAAAGTGCAATGACTGAAATTAAGATTTCAGTAGAGTTATACTGGATGATGATGACCTACAGCTGTCATTTTAGCTACTCAGGAGGCTAAAGTTTGGAGGGTTAAGGCTTGAAGCCAATCTAGGCCAAACAAGTCCACGAGATTCCATCTCTAAAATAACCAGTAAAATAAATCACAGAGACATGGCTCAAGTGGTAGAAGACCAGATAAACAAGCACATTGACAGAGTCCCAATTCTGGTGAAAAAAAAAAAAAACAACCAACCAAACACAAAAAAGAACTGAGATGCAGAAAGTTCAGGTAATACCCCCTTCCCTTCCCCCTCTCCCCCAAATCATACAGTTGGAGCTCAGAAGCCTGGGCATCAAAATCCTATCTGTCAGACTTGGAAGGTAGCTCCTCACTACTAGCTCCTGTGTCTCTCCAGGGGATATCAAAAGCATCATCACGTACGACCTCATCCTGGATTCTACCCGTCTACGTGCCGTCTTCACGGATACAAACAACCATACACGCAGACACATACAAACCTTGGGACTGGCACCAAAATGTGATACCTTAAATCTACAGTTACCGGTGAGCAGGCCCCAGGCCAGGTCTCTGGGCCACGAATGGGTGGGTGGGCCTAGGAAGTGAAGGAGGACAGATAATCAGCCCTTCTTATCTTCTAGACCTGTGTTGCAGATCCCGTGATCCCCATCAGCCTGCGCCTCAACTATAGTCTGGAGGGGGTCCCCTTGGTCTATTCTGGGGGCCTCCGGCCGGTTCTGGCTGAAGATGCTCAGACAATCTTCACTGCCTCAGTGAGTCTTGAGTTGGGGTCCTACAACGGTAAGGAGAAGAGGCTAAGATAGGTAAAGCTTTTCTTTTTTGGTTGGTCATGGGGCTTGAACCCAGGGCCTAGGCGCTGTCCCTGAGCTTTTTCATTCAACACCAGTGCTCTACTGCTTTGAGCCACAGCTCCATGTCCAATTTTCTGGCGGTTAATTGGAACTAAGAGTTTCATGGATTTCCCTGCCTGGGCTGGCTTTGAACTGTGATCCTCAGATCTCAGCCTCCTAAGTTGCTAGGATTACAGGTGTGAGCCACTGGCACCTGGCTATTTGTGGGTGCTGGTCCTAGGGCTTGAACTCAGGGCCTGGTGCTGTCCCAGACTTTTTTTTTTTTTGTTAAGGCTAGTGCTCTACCACTTGAGCCGTAGTTCCACTTCTGACTTTCTGATGGTTAATTGGAGATAAAAGTCTGATGGACTTTCCTGCTGGATTGGCTTTGAACTGTGGTCCTCAGATTTCAGCCTCCTGAGGAGCTAGGGTGACAGGCGTGAAGCACTGGTGCCTGGTGTTAAAGTTTATTTTATTCCACCCAATTTCATTCCAACTGGATTGTTTCGTGACTTCATATTCTGGCCTTTACAGTTTCCCTTTGAGAAGAATTGTGGCAATGACAATGTTTGCCAGGATGACCTCAGTGTCTCCTTCAGTTTTCTGGGGTAAGTTTCTTCTCCTGGTTGCTACTCTGTTCTTTTCCTGATCCCCAAGAGAGCTTCATGGAGTCCATTAAAAAATACAGTGTTATTTTATGTTTTGTTTTGTTGGTCACGGGGCCTGAACTCAGGGCCTGGGAGCTGTCCCTCAGCTCTTCAACTCAAGGCTAGCGTTCTATCATTTGAGCCACAGCACCACTTCCAGCTTTTTGTGCTTATGTGGGTGCTGAGGAATCGAACCAGGGCCTCATGCACGCAAGGCAAGCGCTCTACCACTGAGCCACCTTCCCAGCCCCACATTGTTATATACAAAGGGGTTAAGGTTACATAAGTCAGGTAAAGAGTACATTTCTTTTTGGATAATGTCACCCCTTCCTTTGCTCTTTCCCAGTTTTCCTCTCCCATCCTCACCCACAAAGTTTCATAGTTCACTTTCAACATAGTGTCCAGTGAGTACCATTGCTACATGTGTTCACCCTTGGTCCCTTCATTTCTGTGTTCCCCCTTACCCTCCCAAGGATACATATATGAACAAACAGAATCAAGAGGAAAGAAAATAAAAACAGCAATCCCCCCCCCCCTGCAACTCTTGTTTTCATTTCCTGGAGTTTATTTCAGTGAATAGTATTTTATATGATCAGAGACACACAGCCATTACGCCTTTCTGTTCCTCTCTTAAGAGTATCCTCCTTTGGTCTCTGTGTGTGAATGCCAAGTCCTGTATAATCGATCCTGTCCTGGTGTATTTTAGATCTAGCTTTCAAATATGACTGACAGCATGCACCATTGTCTCTCTGAGCTTGGCTTATCTCACTTAACATGCTTTGTTCTAGGGCCATCCATTTCCCTGCAAATGACATCGTAGTATTCTTTCTAATGGCAGAGTAAGATCCCACTGTGTATAGATGCCACATTTTTTGGGTCTGCTCATGTATTATAGGGTATCTGGGCTGTTTGAGTCCCTTCTTGGGGAGGTCACGAGGTCCCTGTGGAAGCTCCATGTTTCTCCAGGTGCCTGCGTCCATTTCCACCCAAACACACTTGTCACAGGACAGCGCTCTCTCTGGTCTTGTTGCTCCTACAGCCTGGACTCCTTAGTAGTAGGTGACCCCCGAGCCTTCAATGTGACGGTGACTGTGGGCAACGATGGTGAGGACTCCTACGCCACGCAGGTGACCTTTTACTACCCATCTGTCTTGTCCTTCCAGAATGCATTCGAAACCCAGGTAGGGAAACTCTTCTCTCCCGCCATGTGACCTGCGCCTTCCCCTATGCCACGGCTGATGGGCCAGGAGCCATAGCTGCTGACTTTGCCTTCCAGAATCAGCTCATTCTGAAATCTATGGATTGTAATCCTGAGGTCTCCATCCAAGGGCCTGGGGCCTTGAAGAGCACCACCTGTAGAGTCAAGAACCCCATCTTCCCCGGCAACTCACAGGTCAGAGCCCTCCGGCCTCCGCTTTTCTTCCCAGTGCTTTTCCTCCTCAAGTATCTCTTCCTCTTCCTCCTGCACCTTCTCCATCTTCATCTCCTCTTCCCCTCCCTCCCTTTCATCTTTCCTCCCTCCCTCCCTCCCTCCCTCCCTCCCTCCTTCCTTCCTTCCTTCCTTCCTTCCTTCCTTCCTTCCTTCCTTCCTTCCTTCCTTCCCCCTTCCCTTCTCCTTTCCATTCCCTTTCCTCTTCCTCCTCCTCTTCCTCTTTATCTCCTCCTCCTCCTCCTTCTCTTCCTCTCCTCTTCTTCTTCTTCCTCCTACTCTCTTTCTCTCCTCTTTCTCCTCTTCTTCTTGTTCTTCCTCCTCCTCCTCTTCTTTCTTTCCTCCTCCTCTTCTTCTTGTTTTTCCTCTTCTTTCTCCTCTTCTTCTTCCTCTTCTTCCTTCAAATTAGAGGTTCCCTCTTTGTAAGAAGAAAGGTGTTTTGTAAACACCTGTATTGAGATACAATTTACATCCCTTCATGCATCCATGTACAGTGCTGTACAGAGGGGTTCTAGCTACGTAAGTTAGATAAAGAGTACAGTTTCCTTTTGGACAATGTCGCCCCTTCCCTCACTCTCTCCCAGTTTTTCCCCCCTACTCCCACCCACGCGTTGTATAGTTCATTTTCAACACAGTGTCTAGTGAGCACCACTGCTGTCTTTGTTCACCTTTTGTCCAGTGGCTTTTCATATAGTCACAGCTGTGCATCTGTCATCCTGACGAATGCCCTTAGTCCCCACTCTCCCAGGTGCTGGCAACCACCAATCAGCTTTGTCTTCATAGACTTGTCTATCCTGGTTTCCTCCTATAAATGCAAACATACAGCGCATGGCCCTTTCTGAGTGGCTTCTTCCAGTTGGCATGTTTTCAAGGATCATTCATTCTTTTTTTTATTGCTGAGTCGTATTCTGTTGGCTGGCTGGGTCATGCTTTATTCAGCCATTGCTTGGTGGACATTAGTGTTTCTTCTTCTCACTCTCTCTGCTTTCTCCACCTCCAGGTCACCTTTAACGTCTCATTTTATGTGGACCCTGATGCTTTCCTTGGAAAGAAACTACTCTTCAAGGCCAACGTGACCAGGTACCCTGCTCCGGACCTTCCATATGCACCCTCCCCTTTCAGGCCGTCGACCCTTGTCCAAGGTGGATCCTTTCCCCCTCCACAATGGTGCTCAGATCAGATCATTCATTCCTTCACTCATTCATTCACTCATTCATTCCCTCATTCCACAACACCAAGTAAGTACCTACCCATTTGCCAGACCTTGTGCCAAGTGCTGGGAGAATGAGAGCGCCGTGGTTCTTGGTGCTTTGGAGGTTATAATTTAGTGGCATGGATAAACAAGGAAACTGGCTAGCAGATGATAGCCACTGCTCTTGGAACTTGGTGACCAGAGAAGATTCCTGAAGGAAATGTGTTTAGGCTGTGAGTCTTCCAAGAAAAGGCCTCCACAGAAGTGGGCATGAAGCCAGGAAGAAGGAATCAGGAGCAAGGCCAAGCCTAGAGACTGGCAAGATCAGCATGCGTTTAAGGCATTACTACCTGTAATCCAGATACTTGGGAGGTGGAGGTTGAAGAATGGCCAGTTTGGAAGGCAATATGGGCCAAGTTAGTGAGATTATCCCCAAAGTAAAAGCTGGGCACCTGTGGCTCATGCCTGTCATTCTAGCTACTCAGAAGGCTGAAGTCTGAGCATTGAGATTTGAAGCCAGCCTAGGCAGGAAAGTCTGTGAGACTAATAAATTACCAACAACAAAAAAATAAAGCCAGAAGTGAAGCTGTGACTCAAGTGGTAGGGTACCAGCGTTGAGCAGAGACAGTGCCCAGGCCCTGAGTTCAAGCTCCAGACCCTGAGTTCAAGCCACACACACACATACAGACAGAGACACATTCATACACATATAGACACACAAATAGGCTAGAGAGATGGCTAGAGAGAAGTCATACCATAAAACGACTGATGGGTGAGTGGTGTTAGAGAATTTGCGATTATGAGTGGTGTTAGGGAAATTGCGATTTAATCTATAAGTGTGACAAAATTATATTGTATGACAGGGGGGCTGAGGGGGCAGTTCTGAATTCAGAGGAGCAGCAAGCGGCTGCTGTAGCCATGGGAGTTAGCTATGTGGGACTGAACTATGTCTTGGGGGACGGGTAGAGAAGAGGAGATTTAGGATACAGAGATAACAGAACTTGGTGACTGAAAGAGGGAGAAAAGGATAGGCTGATTTCTTTCTTTTTTTTTTTTCCTTTTTGTTTTCTTTCTTTTCTTTGTCAGTTGTGGGGCTTGAACTCAGGGCCTGGGTGCTATCTCTGAGCTTTTCTGCTCAAGGCTAGTGCTCTACCACTTGAGCCACAGCTCTACTTCTGGTTTTCTGGTGGTTCATTGGTGATAAGAGTCTCATGGACTTTCCTGCCCAGGCTGGCTTGGAACTGTGACCTTAGATTTCAGCCTCCTGAGTAGCTAGGATGACAGGCGAGAGCCACCAGTGTCCAACGAAAGGCTGATTTCTTAGATCTCAAAAGCTGGCTAAGTTCATTCTCTCTATCTCTCTCTTTTCTCTCTCTCTAGTGACAACAACATGCCTAAGACCAGCAAATCTGAATTCCAACTGGAGTTGCCTGTGAAATACGCTGTGTTCATGGTGGTCACCAGGTGCTAGGGTCTGGGCTATGACTGAGCTGTCTGCATTGGGCTGGACACAGCTGGTTGAGTATAAGAGTCTGCGTGTGTATGCACTTGGCTCCTATGTGCCAGCTCTGTCCTTACACCCTCCTACAACCCCCCACCTGTTTTCTGTTATCTTCCATCTCCCTCTTTCCTTCTTTAGTGGTGAAAGTTCTACGAAGTATTTCAACTTCACTGCCACAGAGAAGACCAGTGAGGTGATAAAGCATCAATATCAGGTAGGGAGGAGAGGATGCTGGGGAGGAAAAAAAATCAGTCCAAGGAAGCAGAAACAATCAGGAGAGCAAGGTGCACACCCAGTGGGCACGCATGCACACACACAGTGTGCATCCTTATATGCATAGTGAACTCTTTGCACACATAATGAACTACAGAGGCTGATTCTAGGTGTTGGTGGAGGCTGAAGGCCGGAGAGTCCTGACACCATTACTTTTTCTTGGTGTAGTTCAAAAATCTGGGTCATAGGAGCCTCCCTGTCAGTGTGGTTTTCTGGGCTCCTGTTCAGCTGAATGAGGTGACTGTATGGGACCACCCCCAAGTCATCTTTGCTCAGGTGAGTCCAGTTGTGCCTCAGAAGTGGGTTCAAATCTCCCCTTGAACTCTCCTTCCTGAGATCTGTCTGTCTCCTAACGTGGATCCCTGACTCCACTTGGGTCCAGGCTGTCTCACTTTGAGGACAGATCCAGCGGCCTCATTTCTTCCCTTCCCCATGGTATTTCTTTCCTCAGAATCTCTCAAGCACCTGCCGTACTGAAGAGAGGCGTCCCACTCAATCCGACTTCCAGGAACAGCTTACAAAGACCCCTGTGGTGGTAAGATGCCTGCTTGCCTCCAGCCTGGAATCCACACTTGGATCCAGTCCACTCACTGGAGCCCCATGGGGTCTCTTCACCAAGAGTTGCTGAGCACCCGTGCCACCATTTTTAGTCAACTGCCTCTCCTTTCCTTCCGTCTCCAGAACTGTTCCATTGCTGTCTGCCAGAGAATCCAGTGTGACATCCCAACCTTCAACATGGAGGAAGAATTTGAGGTGGACCTCATAGGCAACCTCTCTTTTGATTGGTATATCAAGGTACGTGGCACGGCTTTCCAGCCTGGCTGGGCACCAATAGGATCCTCTGGGCTCCCAGACTTGGACATTTGCTTTTTTCTTTTTTGCTGTCCTGGGGCTTGAACTCAGGGCCTAGGTTCTGTCCCTGATCCTCTCTGTGCTCAAGGCTAACACTCTACCACTTGAGCCACAGTGCCACTTCCAGCTTGTTTCCTCTTCTTCTGTGTATGTGGTATACTGAGGAATCGAACCTGGGCTTCATGCATGCTAGGCAAGCACTCTTCCACTAAGCCACATTCCCAGCCCTCTGTGTTGTTTGCTACAGAAGTCTCATGGCCACCTTCTGCTGGTGAGCACAGCGGAGATTTTGTTCAATGATTCCGAGTTTGCACTGCTTCCAGGACAGGACATATTTGTAAAATCCCAGGTATGGTCTCAGGCATGGAGGGGGACTCCTAGGTTTGGGGGGGGGGGAACTGGGCTGGGGAAACCATCAGGGTGGAGGGAGGAGCAAGTGTGAGTGTGTGTGTGTGCGTGTGGAAAGGGTGAGGGCATACTGGGAGGTACTAATTATGGAGTTGGGTGTGATTGGAAAAACATCCAGAAATCTTTTCTCCTCCAGACTGAGACTAAAGTGGAGCTGTATGAACTTCACAACCCTGTGCCGCTCATTGTGGGCAGCTCCATCGGGGGGCTGGTGCTCCTGGCCCTTATCACTGCAGGGCTCTACAAGGTACCCATGAGTCTTCTCCCTGCCCCTCTCATCCTGTTGATGCTTCTCCCTCAGTGGCGACAGCAGTTGGTTCAATTCCTAGGCCTGGTAGCTAGTTCGAGAGCAAGTCAGAGTCTCTCTGCGCCTCAGTTCCTTCAGCTGTAAAAGGATCATATTCGATTTTTTTTTTTTGTTGGTCCTGGGGCTTGAACTCAGGGCCTGGGCTCTGTCCCCGAGTTTCTTTTGCTGAAGGCTAGCGCTCTACCACTTGAGCCTCAGCAACACTTCTGGCTTTTCCTGAGTGGTTTTTTGGAGATAATAATCTCATGGACTTTCTTGCCCAGGCTGGCTTCAAACAGAGATCCTCAGATCTCAGCCTCTTGAGTTATAATCCTAAGATTGTAAGCGAGAGCCAGCAGCGCCCAGTTAAAAGGATAATATAAAAGGATAATAAAGGGCTGGGAAGGTGGCTCAGTGGTAGAGCGCTTGCCTTGCATGCCAGAGGCCCTGGGTTCGATTCCTCAGCACCACATAAACAAAAAGAAAAAAGCCGGAAGTGGCTCTGTGGCTCAAGTGGTAGAGCGCTAGCCTTGAGCTGAAGAGCTGAGGGACAGGGCCCAGGCCCAGAGTTCAGGCCCCATGTCTGGACCCCCCCCCAAAAAAAAGATAATAAAGGATAAAAATATAAGGATAATAAACCCACTTTGTGAAGGAAATTGGATTAGTGGTGTAACTAGAATGCACCTTGGAATATAATGATTGCTAGAAGAGTGATATATACATATATATATATATATATATAAAACCTATATATCAATATATTTATGTATCTATAACATTTATATATAATTCCTATTATTTATTAGCTATATACAAATAAATGAGCCAGGTGCTGGTGACACCTGCCTGTAATCCTAGCTACTCAGGAGGCTGAGATCTAAGGATCAAAGTTCAAAGCCAGCCCAGACAAGAAAGTTCATGAGACTTTTTTTTTGCCTGTCGTGGGGCCTGAACTCTGGGCCTGGGCGCTGTCCCTCAGCTCTTCAGCTCAAGGATAGTGCTCTACCACTTGAGCCACAGCTCTACTTC